CGAAGGCAGGCCTAAAGACTATTGCGAATTCTGTACATCTGTAAATTACACAGTTGTCACAAACAGTGTCGATCTGTCTGAATTAAATTGTGAATTTTATTATACTGACATTAGACACAGGTGAAGTGTAAGGCCAGGTCTGAGGACTACTGCTACATCTAAGAATTGGACAGGTGCCACAGACAGACTTGACCTGTCGAAACCATTTTCGATTTTGTCTTTTCTTTGGGTAGTTTTCTCGAAGTTGGGGTAATATAATATTTATAAATATTCAAATTCAAAGGGTGATCGAGATGCAGTTCTAAAAAATCTAAGTAATAGAAGTAGGCTATTATTATCGTTTCTTCTCTTTAGCGGTAACAAAGATTTTAGTTCATGGTTCATCTAATGACCTTTCACTGTCTCATGTTACCGATTAATCTGGACAATTGACAAGGGTGTCGGTTATTTCCTATAGGTCGGCTTGCTTATTCAGCCATTGCTTGGAAAACACTAGGTCCACGTGACTGGAATGGAGGTTTGGGCCTGGGCCTTTGCGCTATTACTGTCCCTTACCTTTCTTTAGAGACCTTTGACCTTTAAGAAGTAACACATATGTGTATGCTATTCGTAACTACCTCCAAATAAGAAAAATCTTTGCTTTTTACTAGATAGATTCGTGTCCTCTGAAGTTATGGATCTGAAATTACTGATTTACGAAGCCATTTAAATGTTTGTTATTCGCTGGAACGTACCTTAGTGAACCCATCAGGATAGATCTGACGAGGTTGAATGCATCTTTCGATATCGAGCTGGCCGAAGTTCAGAGTGTTATGTTGGAAAGTCTTAGAAGCGTAGTTCACCATGTTCTGGGAGACATCCACTCCAACAACTTGTTCCACCCGTGGCAGTAATGGCATCAGTAGGTTACGGGTAACGTCACCTAATTTTGGTTGTTTATGTTTGGTCAATATAGAATGTGTTTTTCAGTAAAATTTTCAAACAATCTGCTATGTACATCACTCTTAATGTTAAATTTGTACTGCAGTACATGGCAAGGTTTAAATCTGTTTAGTTAATAATTTGTCAGTACTTTTATATTTAAAGGCTGTAACTAAATCTAAAGCTATATATATATATATATATATATATATATATATATATATATATATATATATATATATATATATATATATATATATATATATATATATACTGGCCGCAATCTCCCTAGTAAGGGGTGGCCTAGTCAAAGCACACGCATTTACCAGACGTCAAACATACCTCAGTCACTCCACTTAACTCCTTGGGGTTAAATTGGTGCCATAATCCTCCACCCCTCTGCTTTGGGTCATCCACAGTGCAGTTGGGCATATTATGATTATTTTCAAGCGAAATACCATATCCTACTGAGTTCAAAAGGGTGGTCCCAACTGTATCAAAAGAACTGATTAAGTAGGACTTCAACTTATTATGACAAGTTTCATACCTTGTGCCAGTAATTTTGTGACAGGAATGTTAGCTCCAACTTACCTATCACTTTGAGTAGGTACATACGACTTGAAGTAACTAATAGAGTGAAATACTATCTCCCCTCACCAATTGGGATAGAAACACATATCTCCAAGGAGCTAAGAGGAGTGATTGAGGTATATTAGTTTCTGGTGAATGTGTGTGCTTTGACTCGGCCACCCCCTTTCAAGGAGAATTGCTGCTATTGTTTATGTATGTGCGTATATATTTCCCACCAACTTTTCGAAGTTGAGTCTCCACTCAAAATTTATAAGCTCCAGTGACAAGGACCAGTTTGCTAACTTAAATTCTTCTCACTATTAAGTTATCTCCCTCTCCAGTCATATTAGACACTCCACGGAATATTTTATCTGGATATTTTAAACTAAGCAGTGTGCATTTATATCGTAAATAAGATTACATTATTTTCCCTTTTATGCTTCACTATTAATCCCCATGGAGACAGGTTGGAACTGGGGAATTAAAGCTTATTCCCTTCCTAACTCCCCGCGGTGGGCTCAATCGCGGACCTGTCACTTCTTTAGTCCAAGATTCTAACCAATTCGCTTTCGCGGTCCCTCTAACAAAGAAACTAAACAAATAAACAGTAAGAACATGCTTGTGGCGCTCCTGTCATTGCATCACTGATTAAACCCTTGCGGTATATTGTTAATAACCAACCTGACCCGCAGCCAACATCCAGAATGGCCTCGCCTTCCTCTTGCCAGGCCATCTGAGGTAAAAATTCAGTCAGCACAAGAAGGGCATCTCGCTTCTGCAGGGCGTTTGCTGAAACGTATAACTCGGCGTTCTCCATTCTGGAAATAGGTGAAAAGATTAATAGAATTCCTTAGACTTTTATTAAGGAATTTACTTCCAGCTCCGTTTCTCTACGTAGGTCCTTGAGTACTTATTCTGTTCGTGGGTTGCACATGGATATACGTTATCGCAATTGATTGGTAAATATTTGGATCTTATCGTCATGGTTAAATGTAATAAATATGAAATTTTTTTATAAAATTCCTCCACCGTGTGTGTGTATATATATATATATATATATATATATATATATATATATATATATATATATATATATATATATATATATATATATAATGACAGATGCAACTCCCTAGAAGAAGGGCATGCTGCGCTTGGGAGAAGTTATCGAAAATTATTTTTTTTTTTAAGAATATTGCTTATATGCTGCTAATTATTTTTTTCATTTATATATGTGATTTTTTTTTTTTTGTTATTTCTTGTGGTATTATTGCATTATAGGACCACCTCTGTTTTCCAGTTGAAATAAAGGTTTTCTGAAAGTTTTTTATGTGTTTTAAGCGAATCTGACCTTCATTTGCTCCGGAAATCAGTCCTTCACTCTGAAAAATTAACCGTTAGTTAAAAATCACTGGGAAAAATTAACCGTTAGTTAAAAATCACTGGCTTTCTGGTAAGTGAAGAGTTAGCCGCCCGTTACTCTGTTTCAAATCGCGCACTGAGTTAATGAAATAATGGGGTTAGGTTAGTTCAAAACATAAAAAAACTACCAAAATAAAAATTATTTCAATTGGAAAATAGAGGTGGTCCTATAATGCAATTTTACCTATGGTATTATTGCATTATAGGACCAACTCTGTTTTCCAGTTGAAATAAAGGTTTTTTGCTAGTTTTTTATGTGTTTTAAGCGAATCTGACCTTCATTTGCTCCGGAAATTAGTCCTTCACTCTGAAAAATTAACTGTTAGTTAAAAATCACTAGGCAAAATTAACCGTTAGTTAAAAATCACTGGCTTTCTGATAAGTGAAGAGTTGCTGTAGCCGCCCGTTACTTAGTTTCAAATCGCGCACTGAGTTAATGAAATAATGGGGTTAGGTTAATTTAGGTTAGGTTTGTTCAAAACATAAAAAACTACAAAAAATTTTTTTATTTCAATTGGTAAATAGAGGTGGTCCTATAATGCAATTTTACCAAATATCTTACAATTAAAAATCAGTAATTTCAGTTATCACCTTTTATTAACTTTGGGAAATAATTTAACCAATATCAAAATGACATAAGTAATAGCCTGGTGATTAAAAGCAATAATTAAATAACCTGGTGATTCAGAGCAAAAATGAAATAGGCTACCCCAGTGACTTGAGACACAAATGAAAACCTGGAGACTTGAGGACACAATTAAATAGCCTGGTGACTGAAGGCCACAATTGAATAGCCTGGTGACTGAATGCCACAATTAGATAGTCTGGTGACTGAAGGCCACAATGAAATAACCTGGTGACTTAAGGCCACAATAAAAGAACCTGGTGACTTAAGGCCACAATGAAATAACCTTGTGACTTAAGAGCAATAACCTGGTAACTTTCAGCAACAAGGAAGGTATTGCCAACAGAAATATAATTTTCTGTAACTGGATTCCTCATAACAATGTTTGGATTAAGCCCAGAATATTCACTCAATGTCATTTTTAGGTGTATAATCTTGTATTAAGGGAAAAGGCCTGTAGCAGAGTGCCAAAAGACAAAGTTTGAGTGTATGAAGGAGTTGCTCTCTTGAATTAATTTGCAAGATTACACTTTATATGTAAATTCAATGAATAAACTCATGATAAGGAAAATGTGTACATGGCACACGATTACAATTTATGTTTTAACTTTTTAATGAATGAAAAAAAAATTACCAATGGGTTTATGTTGTAGTTTACCACCTCATCTTTGTTTCTCTCAAGCCCCATTTCTATAATTTGGAGAGCATGGAATGGGAATGTTTTATTTTTTATTTTTTTTTTTATTACCGATCAATCGGTTATTCATTTAGGACGAATTGCAAACTAGTTTTGTTATATGGTCAGTGAGGATAGCTGGGGATGGGGGGGGGGAAGTTGGCCTACAGTGTGATGTAGTATGTCAAATTAGAGCATATTTAAAGTTAATATAATTATTAAAATTATTGCATTGTACTTATTCAAGTCGCTAATATGAAAACCAGTAAGAATTGTTGTAGAATAATTATCTCTTTATGTTTTTAGTATCTGTTATTTCAATTACTGTGACGTTGAGAATTTGTTTTGTTTATTTATAATACAGTTGAAAACGAAAAATTGCTTACCTTCTTGAAGATTTTTTGCAGGCCTTAAGGAAGATCTCACAATGTTAAAAACTGCAGCAGGTTGGGGGATAAAAACACCGACAAAATAAGTGCAGATAAAGTTGTCAAATAGTAAAATAAACCGAAAAATAGAAAATAATATTTTGGGGACTCAGCAAACGAACAAGTCAGTTGCTGGTCTCAGGAAATTAAAATTTTGCCCTCAAAAGGGAGGAGAACAGCCTAACGGCCCTTTAACCCTACTACTCTGCCAAGGGCTGAAGACTTAGCCTTTTATACTGACACATCAATCATTCTTGGGCGTTGTCATTTTCAATGTTGAGGCGCCCTGCAGTGACACCGCCTTCAGGAGTTTTTGAATTTATACTTATTCTTTATTTAGCCTGAAAGTCATTTTGAGGCCGCGGTAGCTCAGTGGTAGATCGAGTGAGTCGGGAAGTGGATAACGCGGGTTCGATTCCTCCTCGGGGCGTTAGGAAGGGCATGCAACCTAAAAACTTCGGCTCCAATATGTCCATCACCCCCAATCGAAATAAGAGTAATTGTTAAACATAAAACGTTATATAATTTTAAGTTATTAACACCTTTTATTGCTTCTGCTTTCTTGGAAAGTCTAATAGCTGGCTTACCTTTAACTAGATTTGATACAATGGTAACTAGTTTAATATAGTCTCCGGATCTTAGTGATGTACTGTGAGCCATTTTTTTTCATGGATTAGGCAATATGACAGACTAACTGTTATACCTACATTCACTTAAGGAAAGATGTCATGTGCAAATAGTGATGAGTAGATGGTTCCTCTTATTTTGTAGATAAACTTTGCCAATCAGATATTTTTCCTTATATATAAAAATGGTTTTAAGAATTATACCTTAATATAATAAGATATTTGCGAGCAATGAACAACTTGTGTCCAATAAATCTCATAAGCATGTAAACAACTTCACGAGTTATATTTTATTTGTTTTCATTACTTGTGATTCATTAGATGTTGTGTATATATATGTAACAGCCTTTAAAGTTTAATTTATATATTAATTTATGAATTTATTCGACTTAATGATATTAAATATTAAGGCAAGTTTTGACATAATATGCATCCCATCCCGGTAACATAAAACCATCCTAAGGTTTGATAAATTTAACTCAGCACCCCGTCAACTTTGTAACGCGAGACAAAGGCTTGTTCCTTTTTCAGTGACATTGTAATAATCACATGAATAGTCGCATTCTTTTATGTCCTTCCGATCTTTTGTTGTCATGACTCGTTTTGGAGAATATAAGAGCAGAGTCTTTCAATTGGTTGCTATTTAAACTTTTTCATTTGTTTCCTATTGTTCCATAATTATCAGAAGTTCCTTTAAAAACTATGTGTATGCTGATTGATTGTGTGTGTGTGTGTTTTTTGTAGCTTAGTTGAACTATAGTTATACATTTGGGGGAAGTATATATATATATATATATATATATATATATATATATATATATATATATATATATATATATATATACATATATATATATATATATATATATATATATATATATATATATATATAGATATATATATAGATATAGATATATATATAGATATATATATAGATATATATATATATATATATATATATATATATATATATATATATATATATATAGATATATATATATATATATATATATATATATATATATATATATATATATATATATATATATATATATATATATATATATATATATATATATATATATATATATATGTGTGTGTGTGTGTGTCTGTCTGTGTAAATATATGTAATTACATAATTGGCAATGTGTAAAAATTGAGTAAAAGTTGTATCCTTATCAAAGTTCCATAAACGCCTTTTATTAAGTTAACTATTAAGTAGTCACTACTGCTTTTATAATTTATTAACAAAAATATAACTGTCTAATGTGTAAAGGAGTTATATTTTTACCCCAATATACCATCGGAACACCATGTATTAATTTGTAGATTCTGAGTGATTATTATTGTTGGTAACATTAATTAGAGGATTGGTTTTGTATAACTGGTGAAGATTCAATATATATCAAACTTAACCATAGCATCTGATTTTTTTTTTTTTTTGTAGAGCTTGACATTAACTAAAAAATATTATCAGATGCCTAAAGATAGATTAATAGTACTTTCCATCTCAATTTTACCATCGAGAGGGTAATTACTAATTTGTAGGTTTAAATTACTATTTTCCACTTGTTATTTGGAATGAATGAGAGGGAAGTGTATAATCTCTCCAGTAGTTGGTCTTCTGCGGTAGTTAGTTGAATTATACCATTAGATTGTATATGAATTGTGTTTTTCTTCTATTTTTTGGTAATTTTAGAAATAAAGGTCTCAGAGTAGAGACCTAAATATGTTGTTGTCAAGTATTTACTGGCGTAAAAACCTGTTTTTGCATTTCAGAAATTGTCAGAATACCCTTTGAATTGTTTTTGGATTTTCCCTTTGCACTGTGGAGGCATCTAAATATTATTATATATCAGAATCCAAATGTATCTCTCTCTCTATCTCTTTCTCTCTAACACACACACACACACACTGGACCAAAGTAGCCTAGTCGTATTTTGGTGTCTGATATGGAATGGTCTATTATAACATTGGAGCGTCCTATGACTAACCGCAGACATTATTTCAAGCACATCTACGAACACTTTTAAAAAATGTCATCTAAATCAAAATTAAATACTGAAGCATATTGGGCCTTGGCCTTTATTCCCCAGCTCCAACTTGTGTTCATCCCCATTCGGATGGGAATTGATAGTAACAACAATAGCAACAACAACAAGCATATTGGATGTTATGTGACCTTTTTCTTTTTGTTATGCTTTGTAAAATATCCCCATAGTCAAGTGTATTTTGCCTTGACTCGGCCACTCACCTTATAAGGGGGGAAAATGGTTCATTCATATGGAGGTTAATGTAAATGCCAGTAAGCTTCTTCTTCTTCCTCTTCCCCTTCCTCTTGTTGTTGTTGTTGTTGTTGTCAGTATGGCTAATTTCTTTAGACTATATTTACGGCATTCATATTCAAGACTTGAATTTGCTTCTGATAAGTAGAGTATATGTTCTTTCATATTTATATTTATAAAATTCATTTATTAAATTTACTTCCGTATTTTTATTAGACTAACACATATAATATTTTTCACTTTTGGTATTATAATATGCACACTGAATATAGAATCATCGAACGATGTTTTTAGAAAAATTACGGGATATCGTACTGAGAGAGAGAGAGAGAGAGAGAGAGAGAGAGAGAGAGAGAGAGAGAGAGAGAGAGAGAGAGAGAGAGAGAGAGAGAGAGAGAGAGAGAGAGAGAGAGAGATCGACTCGAGACGTTATAGCAGAATTTTGCCTTGTTTTGGGAGATAAATTGCCCAATAAACTAGTCCTTATGGTGCTAACTGGTGCCCTCACAAAATACTAACGAATCTTATTATTTGGAGATTGTCAACGCTCTCTCTCTCTCTCTCTCTCTCTCTCTCTCTCTCTCTCTCTCTCTCTCTCTCTCTCTCTCTCTCTCTCTCTCACGTGAAACGAAACATGTGGTGTTAATCTTAGCGCATCTTTGATACCATACTAGTATTTGGATGTGAATTATACAATGTCGCTTCATCGCTTTTCGCACAAAGTTGGCCATATCTTGTCTTTGCATTTTCTTTCTCTTTATGATAGCTCGAGAAATTAATTGGTATTTAGCCTACATACAAGATATATATATATATATATATATATATATATATATATATATATATATATATATATGTATGTATGTATGTATGTATGTATGTATGTATGTATGTATGTATGTATGTATGTATATGTATGTAGGTATGTATGTATGTATGTATGTATGTATGTATGTATGTATGTATGTATGTATGTATGTATGTATGTATGTATGTATGTATGTTGTATGTATGTATGTATGTATGTATGTATGTATGTATGTATGTATGTATGTATGTATGTCTGTATGCATGTATGTATGTATGTATGTATGTATGTATGTATGTATGATGTATGTATGTATGTATGTATGTAGTATGTATGTATGTATGTATGTATGTATGTATGTATGTATGTATGTATGTATGTATGTATGTATGTATGTATGTATGTATATATATATATATATATATATATATATATATATATATATATATATATATATATATATATATATATACACACACACACACACACACACACACACACAGAGCCAAATAAGCACATTACCATATGTGAAATCATAAATTATTTTTACCCCGACCGGGACTTGAACCTAGGACACATAATTACTTTGCCAAGGCGCTACCAACTACACCACAGAAGGTTTTAAAAGGGAAACAGATCTTATAGCTTTTATCTGCTATACTAGGAATGAACACATTCTATCTGAATGCCACTCTCTTCATATTGCAGTTTCCCTTAACCTCACTTGTGGTTTCGTTTTCGCATTTAATTCAAGTCATTGGTCCCGACTTATATCTTTGTCAAAAAGGTTTCTTTATCTTCTGTTCCTATAGGGTAGCTGTTTCATGCGAATCAGCGATGGCTTTGGCTTGATGATTTCGAAGCGGGATGTCCTTTCTAACGCTATCTCCATTGATCAGGGCTTGGGACCGGCAATGATTTTAGTTGGCCAGCTCCCACAAATTATGTATCTATAAAAATTATGAATCGATTCAGTTAATGCAAGATGGGGAAGAGGGAGAATAAGGAAGAAAAATAGGAATAATGGAGAGGAAGAAGAGAATTAACAGTGGAATAGGAATAAAACTAAAGAATAATAGGAATAATAAAGAGGAGGAAGATGGGAAAAAATAACGGAATAAGAAGAAAAAGAAAAAAAATAGGAATAATGAAGAGGAGGAAGGAAGGAATGAGTAGTGGAATAGGAAGAAAAAGAAAGAAATAATAGGAATAATGAAGAGGAGGAACGCGAATGAATAGTGGAATAGGAAGAAAAAGAAAGAAAAAAAAGTGGTTTAAATCACAAGGAACAAGTACAGCTAAACTTATTTAGCCGTCTTCGGGCAATGTATACTAGCCGAGTCTTTATAGTGTGAAGTTTATTAAATAAGGCCAAAGGAATAACCAACCGTCTCATACTCGCCATGATCACGTATCGTTGACCTAGATATCAGAGAACTGGCCTCTATTTTCGGTATTTGTACCAAGTAAGCTGCTGTTTTATTTTTTTTTTTATCGTGGCACCAGGACGGGTAAAAAAAAATATATATTTACCCTCAAGAGGCCTGGCCACGAAGAAAACATAAAGAGAAGCAGAGCTGGGGAGTATTGTGACTTGTCAGATGTGAAGGGATAATAAACGTTTGTTTGGGTCTCATGTTGATTCTCAAATAGAATGAAACTTCAAACGTTCAAGCATGGTTTGTTCTCATTAACGTTTCTTCGTTCCTTT